GCTAAAAATAGTTTTATGATTCTTACATTGAAATTTTCCTCACTGAGTTATTTATTTATTTATTTATTTATTTATTTATTTTTTAACCCTTTGTTTCCTTTCTAGTCTAACCTTTTGGGAAGATGGGGTATAATCAGAATGACAAGCATAGATTTTTCACTAAGAATCTAGAATCTTAGGTTTATGTGAAATTTTTTCTGATTCAAATTGTCAACTCTAAACAGCTGGGAAGGCCTTGAAGGCGGTGTTTTCTCACACTAGTATGGCTGCTGACAAGACCACTCTGCCAGAACCATAAGCTTGCACAAAGACCACTGCAACCTGAACCTTCTGCAAGGACATCTGCCTATTTAGCCTTGGACTGATAGCACCCTTACCTTCTATCCTGGTGAGCCAAGGATAATTATACCCAGACATTACAGTCTACCCCCCAACCCCTCTGGGGGACTCTTAAAAGGTTTTTTGCCTTTAAAACCTGTTCAGACATTTTAAGTCCTTGGCGATTGTATTTTGGGGTAATCTGAAATATACCCATTTAAGCTGCAGTCCTCATGTTTGACTTCGAATAAACCTTTCAATATTTTACATAATCAACAGAGGTTGATTATTTTCTGTTGATAGTTTCATCTGTGGTATAATTAGAACTTCAGTTACTCTTTTACTTCTCATTTCACATACTTTGTCACTCTAGTTTTCCCTCCTTGTCTTTAATGACAGCCATATTACTAACACATGAATCATCTTAGGCTACGGACATCTCTTGATCACAAGGTTTATTTACATTTTTAGAAACCCTTTAGGATGGTTAATAGCTTTTTCAGTGTGTGTGTGTGTGTGTGTGTGTGTGTGTGTCTCACAGAGTTGTCCCACAAAGAAGATAACCCTTTTGAGCATTTTCTCACAATATTTCCTCCTGTCTTCAAAATAAATTGCATCATTTAATTTATTTTTATGTTCTGTTGGATTACTAGCCTTTAGCAGAATGTTTTGGTATAGTCAACAATCCAGAACAGCCTAGAAGAGGGTCCCTTTAAAGCTTCCCTCCCTTATGATTTCTCACTTTCCTTCTCAGTCTCTCTCTCCAGGGGAGCGTACACATCATATGGCAAAAACAACAAACAACAATAAACATTAAACAAAACAAACAAACTCCTCCTGGGACCAGCAGGTGGCATGGAAGTTATAGCTGCTGGATCCCACATGACTGATAGTGTGGTTTGAGTCCTGGATCCAGTGGCATAAAAATCATGATGGGTGGGGCCAGCAGGTGGTATGGGAATTAAGGTGGCTGTATCCCCGACCGCCAACTTTGTGGGCTGAGTCCTGGACCCAGTGACTTGAAAAATCACACTGGGCACATGTGGGCTTGCCCCAAATCCTCAGAGGAGAGTGAAGGAAAAAGGATTGTGATGTGGCCCTCCCCCAGAGGGTGATTTCTCACTCCCTTCCAATCTTGCTGTGGTGAGCACGTGCACCCTATAGTAAACTATAAAAAAAAGAAACAACAACAAAAAAACCCTCCGTTACCTGTGTTTTCTGTTACCTGTAGTCAACTGTGGTCTGAATATATATAGGTTAGTATAGTACATTAAGATTATTTGAGTCATAGATACCACATGACTTTGATTGCAGTGTATTATTTTATTATCAGTGTAAGGTTCAGTACCATCTGTGGTTTGGGATAATCCCTGGGGATTGTTGATGTTTCTCAGATGGATAAGGGGGAACTATGGCACTCGTACAGCACCCGTAGACCATACATCCACTCAGGCAACTCTGCGTTGGATGTTTTTGAAGTGAGAGAAGGAACTTCCTCCACCAGTTAATAATGAAATGCAGAAGTGGCACTTCACTGCTTACTTTAACAAGGCTCAGCAGAAGATCCAAAGTTGTGTATGATAAAATGTGTGTATTTTTTTTTCTTTTTATTGGAAAGGTTTTTTTTTTTTTTTTTTTTGCTATAGGGTGTGTGCGCTCGCCAGGCAGACAGAGACAGAGAGACAGAAAGCGAGAAATCACCCCCCAGAGGGGATGGCCACGCCACAATCCCTTCTCCATTCTCCTCTTGGGATCTTGGGCACACACACACATGTGCCCGGCAGGAGTTTAAGCCACAGGGTCCGGGACTCGAACCGCAGTCTACTATGTGGGAGTCCAGCGACATAGCCATTATGCTAACTGCTGGTCCCAAAGTGTATTTTTATGTGCACTGTTTGTGTATTCATATATGTAGGGAGAAGGTGAGAGTACAAGCTAAAGCAAATGTGGCAGTTATTAAAAATTGCTTAATTTTGATAAAGTGTTTATAAATATTTATTGTATTTATTTTTCCTCATTTGTATATACTTGAACATTTAAAACATAAAGTAGAAAAATAAAAGCTGAAAGACACCAGGGAGTATGAGCAGGTACAACCCACCAGGATGTGACTGCTCTGTTGAGCTGTGACACATCTGCTTAAAAAGGAGGCCCAGATATAACAGTAACAGTTGCCTTCAGGGGTAAACAGTAACTTTGATCCTTACAGTGACAGCTCTGTGTTTTGGGCCTTATGTTCTTGGTCACTGATTTCAAGTTTAATTTTAGTTGTATTACCTGGTGAAATCAGAAAAAAAAGAAGAAGAAAGGTAAAATAAAATGCAAGGCTGATGTTGCAGGGAAGCATATACTTCTTGCTGATACCGTTAAAATAGACAAAATGGTTGGGATAGCAAACTGACCTTATGTATCAAGAGACCTAAAAATGTTCATGCCTTTTAATGCAGTAATCTTACTCCTTACAATGAATTACAAGAAAGCAATATAGAGAAATAATTCCCATCTCAGGATTGTATTGATAATACAGTGTTCTCCTAGATTTGGTGGCAAAGACAAAAACAACAAAATCTTCCCACAAAAACGTGCACATTACTTTGGAAAAAGTAATGTGTTAGTGGCAAACCAAAGCCCTCTCTTGTCCTTTGCTTTTATCTTGTCAGTTTCCTGAATTTTCTTTATCTTTCTACTCCTCTTGACTCTTACGTGTAGGTGATGCTCAGCAATCTTTGATTATCTCTCTCTCCTCTTGATTGACTTCTAATTATTGGTATGAAATCAAAATTTGTATGAAATCTAAAATTTCACTCCTGTCCTTTTCTCAGACCTCCATTTGTACCTCTTAATTTTCATTTTCTCACTTTATCCTGTCCCATGTTTTAATTCTGTAAATCCTGCCCTATCATCTTATTTTCTTAACTAAAGCTATTTTTCTGTAGTATCAATTCTATAAGTCAATCTTTAAATTGTTCTTCCTCTTCAAAACACTCAACTCTAGCTTGTAATATCTTTCTGGGATGTTTTCATCATCTTCATGTCGTTACCTAGTTCAAGGGTTTTTTGTCATTGTTGCTGGTAAAGGATGTTCCTGAGAGGTCCTTATGTGGTCACTTTGCATTCTGCTCTTTCTTTGTAATGAATCTTGTTAGGGAAATCTTCCTGAAGCATGGATCAGACCAAACCACTTTCTAGATTAAAAACCTTCAAAGACTGCTTACTGTGTACAGAGAACATCTTGAGCTTCTTCATCTAGTTTTCACAGCTCTTTGCCATATGACTTGGACATTAGTTTCTATTTCTCTCTCAAATGTTTTTTCTCTCATCCTCTTTATACTTCTTTACTTCAAGGCCTTTTGTCCTTTTTTGGCCTCTACCTAATCATTTCCGTTTCACATTTCCAGATCTCATCTATCCTTCAGAGCTGGCCTTCAGGTTTTCCTTCCAGCTGGAAGTAATCTTTCTTCCTAGAAACTCCCAAGGGCTTTTTTGTTTCTTTGTTATTGTGCTTAATATCCTTTCCATTGTACTGTGGTTATTTATGTGCATGTACTGGTTGTTACTAATTGGAAAGTTCTTTAAATTCAGATTCATGTCTCATGCTTCTGTTTCCTATACACATTTTTTGGTACATAGTTTGTTCCTAAAACATATTTATAATACTATTATAAAGCTGTCTTGTTTTGGGGGTATTTCTTGTTGAGAAAAAGGAACAAAATTGTGACAATATTTTATCTGTATGGCAAAGACAGAAAAGATTACATGTCCCATAGGATCTAAAAAATGTGCTTGGAAGTAATTTTACTAAAAAAAGAGGTATAGGAAGTCAGATATACAGATGAGACCTGGGATCAGTGACTGAAACCATTTTCAGACAGATGAATATAACTTTTAAAGCTATTTGGAAGGATAGACTTAATGGTATATTAAAAAACTTTTTTTTTTTTTTTTTTGAGAGATTTTTGCTGTAGGGCATGTGAACTGACCAGAGAGACAGAAGGTGAGAAATCACCCCTGAGAGGATGGCCGTGCCACAATCCCTTCTCTTTCATTTTCCTCTTGGGATTTTGGGAACACATGGACAGGGGCTCAGTGTGAGGTTAAGCCACTGGGTCTGGGACTCAAACCGTAATCGACTACATGGGAATCCAGCTGTGTAACCACTATGTCATCTTCTGATCCCTATTCAATTGTGTTGTTTCGTTTTGTTTTTTAAAGTGTATTTATTTATTTCTTCTGAGAGAGGGTAACAGGGCATCCCCAAAAAGAGTCTTCATGTTGCGATCCAACCTCAGTCTCAGCCAGCCTGGATTATGGATGTAGGTGTGGATGGTACGGAGAGGCTCAGGACGGGAACAGGCACCTTCCCATGTAGGTCCCAGCATGGCAGAGCATGGTGTTATGACTGTGCCACCATTTGACCCCTATCCCACCATTCCACAGATAGTGATATAAAACTTACAAGCAGAAATTTTTTTTTTTTACAGTATTTCTATAGGATGTAGCCCACATTGTATGTACTTCTTATTTATGGTTGATGTCCTTGGAATTTTTTCTTTTAGGATCTTCTTGATCCTTAAAATAGTTCTGTTCCCTCTTATACTTTTTTTTTTCTTTTTTGTCTGATTAATTTTGTTTCTCTGTTTTTCCTGGCAGAACTTACTTTTAGAAAATGTTCTGTTTTGTAGGTATCCTGGTCAGACATAGGAGGACTGGAAAATATCAAACTGAAATTGAAACAAGCTGTGGAATGGCCCTTGAAACATCCAGAGTCTTTCATCCGGATGGGTATTCAGCCACCTAAAGGAGTTCTCCTGTATGGCCCACCTGGGTGCTCTAAAACAATGATAGCAAAGGCCTTGGCCAATGAGAGCGGACTGAATTTTCTAGCTGTAAAGGTAAGGTGCCCACATTTGTGATGGCTATTATCTCTTATATGCTCTCCTTAGCCCCCATCTTCTGATTTCCCTGCTCTTAGGAGAACATGTAACGGTCTCTTAAAGAGCAGTCAATTTTTTTTTTTTTTCATTTGAGATTGCTGGCAGTAAAATATATTGAGATGGATGATAGCAAATTAGTGCATATAATGAGCAGATCATGAGGGCCAGTCAGGAGACTGATTTTGTTTCTTGATTCTCAATATTTCTTACACTCATGTGCAACAAAAACTAATCTTCATTTGTTTTTACATTTTAAAATTATACTAAAGATGACAATGAATTTAATGTTAATTATATATTGAATATAATTCATTATGAATTCAGTACTTACTAAATAGAATTTTCAAATAAATATTTCTTTTTTTTAAATTTTTTTTTTTTTGGAGAGATTTTTGCTATAGGGCGCATGCGCTCGCCAGACAGACAGAGACATAGAGACAGAAAGTGAGAAATCACCCCCCAGGGGGGATGGTCACGCCACAATCCCTTCTCCTTCCTTCTCCTCTCGGGATCTTGGGCATGCACGCACATGCGCCCGGCACGAGTTTTAAGCCACCGGGTCCGGGACATGAACCACGGTCAACTACGTGGGAGTCCAGCGACATAGTCATTACGCTAACTGCTGGTTCCAGATAAATAAGATATTTCTTATGATAGAATTCTAAATTCTTTAAAAATACTTTCGAGGCAGAGAATATATGTGCAATATTTGATAGGTAGGTTTTCTTTTCTTAAGAACTTTTTTTTTTAATTGCCAGAGGACGCATGTGCTAAACAGAAAGAGAAGGAGAAAGCACCCGCAGCTGAGAATGGTCATACCTCAATCCCTTCTCCATTTTTCTTAATTCTGTCAGGATTTGGGGCATGTATGCACATGTATGTTTTCAAGCCACCTCGACTGGGATTTGAACCATGGTTAGCCATATGGGATTTGCCTCCCTGAATCTCTGGGCTGCAGGGTTGATCTTTGATATGTAGTTTTAAATTTATTTTTAAAAAGGTACATAATAATCTGTTTTGATATTACCAGGGTATTTTTTTGCATAACAGAATATGTTTTCTGTCTTAGAAAATTGAAATTGTTGGCACTTTATTTTAATTTGTCACCTTTGAATTTTTCAGCTTCAGCCTATTTTTAAAATTTATTTACTTTTGAGATTTTTGTTATAGGGTATGTACACTTGCCAGAGAGACAGAGAAAGACAAAAAGAGAGAAATTACCCCTCCCTCCCAGGGAGGGATGGCCATGCCACAATTCCTTCTCCTCAGTTCTCCTGTCAGGATCTTGGACTCACACACATGTGCTCGATGTGAGTTTTCAGCTGCCAGGTCTCGGACTTGAACCACGGTCAACTTTGTGGGAGTCCAGTGACATAACCATTATGCCATCTGCTGGTCCCAGCTTCAGCCTACTTTTGGTTATCTTTCTTTGGGAACATTTTGGTGAATAGAGATATGGAGGTGGGGACACAATAGGTTTAAAGTTTGAAGTTTTAAATTTTGAAGAAATGAACAATTTTGAAATTGTCAAAGAATTTTTGCTTTTTTTTTCTGAATTTATTATTAAAATTTGCAGTAGAGTGTGTGTGTGTGTGCCAGAGAGAGAGAGAGAGAGAAACACCGTCCACAGGGATGATCACTCCATGCTCCTGCACTCTCCTTTCTGGATTTTTGTGTGTGCCTGGCATACATTTCAAGCCATTGGATCCAGGACTTGAACCACTCAGTTGGCCATGTGTGATCTAGCTGTTACCACCACACCACCTGACTGCCCAACTTCTTGCTTTGTCTTAGATTCCTGTTGTCTGATCGTGTTGTAATTAGCATGCCTGCTTTACCGTCATTTCTTACTGTTTATCTGTCTTCTCCATTTTTCTGTTTTTCCCTTGTGTGTCCCATAATTGTATATTCATAATATGAGAATTTTTCCTGTGTACTGTAAAAACATACCTGATGAAAATTTAGCTCACAGTTATTTAGATGTGAACTTATTTATTAATACAATTATTATTTTAATTATTATTTTTTTTGCAAACTAGTACTTCAATTTTTTTGTGATACAAAGGAACAGTTCCAGATACTACCAGAACTACTTTCAGGACTATCCTAAGGTTACTTAGGAATATTTATTCTTTTTTTTTTTTTTCTAATAATTATGTTATTTAACTTTATTTATTTACCTTAGCTGCCAGGTCTGTGACTCGAACCACGGTTGACCATGTGGGAGTCCAGCACCCTTAACCACCACACTACCTGTCGGCCCCAGAATATTTATTCTTTTTGAACATAAACTCTTTCATAACTTGAGACCTTTAGTCTTTTTTTCAGTATATGAAACAGTAATACATCATCCTTTGAAAAGTTTGTTTTACATGCTGTTCATGTAAAAATAACCAGCCATGTGTTAACTTATTTGACCTTTTTCATTGTTTTTAGTTTTTTAGATCATATACAAAAAAGACAGGTGATATTAAGATATTAATAAATTGAGTTCCTAACTCACTTTAGAGATTATTATATATCTAAGTTACTAATTTTTATTTAATGTGGATTTCATTTAGTATAGAATTTAGTGTAGTTTAACTTATTCAACTTTTGAATTTGGGTGGAGGATATACTAAATAAATAATGGGTGTTTGTTTTACTGTTTTTTCAGGTTTCCTAAATGTTTAAACATTTTTAAATAAAAAGTTTTGAACATGAACAAATAATTTGCTGTATTATATATAATTGTTGTATAAAAATATATATAATATATATAATTTCCACTAGTATTTTCATTGGTTCTTTCATTTGGTCTGCGGAGGGATTAAGTAGTTAGAGCAGGCAGCATATGTATGAGGACACGAAGTCAAAGAAGTTGGAAATTCATATTCTGTTCTTTCTAGTTTAAAATTTCTGTGTAGGAAAACAAGTTGCATTTTGGGTTCTAACATACATGTTTGTTTTCTAAGGAATAGGTTATAATTTAATTTGAACTTTTTGAAATAATAAGGCTTACATAGTTTGAAAGCGCTCAGAAAGATAATTTTTAGAAAATTAATTAATTGTGATTTTCTTTTCTTTTTTGAAATTTTTGCTATCATGTTCATGCTCTCACCAGAGAGACAGAGAGAGACAGAGAGGCAGAAAGTGAGAAATCTCTCTCCAGGGAAGAGGGCCATGCCACAATCCCATCTCCTCCAGTCTCCTCTCAGGATCTTGGGCATGCACACACACACACACCTGGAATGAGTTTTTAGCCACAGGATCTGAGACTCAAACTGTAGTCAAGTACGTGGGAGTCCAGCAACGTAGACCATCTGCTGGTCCCCAGTTTGTTGTGATTTTCAAGCTGCTGGGTTCAAGACTCAAACCCTGACCAGCCATGTGAGAATTCAGTATCTTACCATGCCACCTTCAGCCCCCCAAAACAAAGTATTACGATAGAAGGTTTTAAACACTTCTTTTTCTCAAGTTCATGAAAGAACCCTTTAACTTCCCCTGTGCATGTTTACCAAGCAGAGATGAAAAGATATACACTCAATTCAGAATTGAGACTTGGCTTTCCTTGTGTGGGCTCTTCATGCCCTCAGGCATATGTATATGTTTTTGTGCAGACTGCAGCACTTGACATATGCTTAAGTTTAGTTTGTCTTATGGGTCAGTTCCATCAAAATATTTTCCAGCTGAAATTTCCTCTCTGCTTCTCTCTTGGCTTTTGTCTGGAGTGCTACAGTAGATTAATTGCCTTTGAATAGCTGGACTGCTTTACTTTATGAAGAACTGTCACTGATTCCGGAGGAAGGAGGGTTAGGTCTCCAACAGGGATTTTTAGCAAGTCCTTTGTTAGCTGTATTGGTGAGTACAGGAAGTGATGAGTTTAGTATATTCTTGAATTTTGGGGAAATTTTGTATACTGGTCTTAGAGTAATTATGGAAAATACCTTCCATTTTCAGGAAAACCTATAGTTTATTCAGTATAGTGCACAATTCAGAGTAATTCTTCTTCTTCTTTTTTTTTTTTAACTAGATTCCCTACTGTTTTGCTATCAAACGCTCAAGGTATTCTGAACTTGGCTAATTCTAAATTCATCTTTAGCCGTCTGTATTTAAATTATCTAGGCAATTTTGTAAGTCTTAGAGCTTCCATATTGCATATACTTCATGGGAAACTGTATAGATATCTTTTACATTCAGAAAGCTTTAAGATTAGTTGGGATAACAAAGATAATGAAGTATAAAAGGATAAGTCATTTTTGCCAAGGTCGTGGTAGTGATGGAACTGAAGTTTGGTCTGAGAAATTCCAGCTCCAGAGTCTACACTCTTAACCAATATATTTTATGCTTTTCCATTCTCTTTCTCTTTGACTTTTAAAAATAAAATTAGCTTGCTTTTATCATTAATTGTGCCACATTACTAGGGAAAGTGATTCAGGTAGTTCCCTTAGGGCAGGTTCAGAAAGGTGGAATTGTTTCTGGGAACTAGTTTGGAAAATAATTTCGATACTCTAGGGCAAGGAAAACTGAAAAAATACTGTGGCTTTGGTCTGGGAGTGAAAGTTGGTTGAGTTGATAAACTAGGATAATCACTACAAAGAAAGGAAACTGATGAATGAAATGAGAGGGCCTGGAAAGAGATTGTTGGTTGAATAATGTAGGGCTTTACATTTACCTTTTAGTATACAATTTGTGCCCTGAGAATGAGTGTTTCGCAATGAAAAGAGCACTAAGCCAGGATTCAGATATCAGTAGTTTGGGTTTGCTTCCTAACCCTGGCATTTTTTAGCTTTGTAACCTTAAGCAAATTCTATAAAATTTCAGTTTTTTCATGTATACAAGTAGGATAGCATTTGTATGTTTAGGCTTTGGAGAGAATATAGTAAAACATGTAAATGAGTAAGTTTTGGGTGGGTATAAAGCCTTATTCAGTATGTTTTGACTGTGCATAGTGATAGTTTTCCAAAGAATTCAGTATG